TCCGACAATAGCAGCGCGGTAACCACTGGCACTGGCGCGGTAACCATAGCACGGTGATAGAGGAAATGCTTCGCCAACCCGAGCGTCTGTTCACCATGGAGGTGCGGCTCAAACATCGTCTGACTGGCATCCAGCGGCTGAATAAGAAATGCTCTTCCCCGGAAGCTACACCTAAGATGGCAGCCCCATCACGGCGGATAAGAGACCTTAGGCCAACCACCTACCCAGTGTTGGAAAAGTTCGCGATATTTCACGAAGTTCACCAAGGGAAAAGTTCGCGAGTCATAGTGAGTTTTCGCGAACTTTTCCATCACTGCACCTACCACAGACAAACAGACATAACACTCGCTAATTGTTCATCGAACAAGCATTTAACGGTCAATTTAAAAGTATCGTAGTTGGTAGCACCGCCAACTGTGGCGCGCATAGTCAATTCCCTTGCGTTTGACGTTTACACACTACCGCCATCTGTTCAGCGTACTACCCACCACAGTCTACTCAACAGATGGCGGTAATGTTTTAGCGACGATGTTTTACAGTGAGAAATATTCAATGTGTTATGTCTGTTTGTCTGTGCACCTACTGTCTCTGAAACCTTTACAATTGTTACAGAAACCAACAGAGAAAGACATCGAACTGATTTAACGGCAACGACTTTTAGCGCAAAACAACGGACACGAATTGGATCATGGAATGTATTAGCGTTAGCCCAGCAGGGTAAACTGGCACAACTCGCCAACGAGGCGCGACGCATGAAGCTAGAAATCCTGGGACTGAGTGAAGTTCGTTGGCCAAACTTTGGAGAACACAAACTGCCGTCGGGACAGGTACTACTATACTCTGGTATTCGAGGTGAAAACACTCCCCGCCATCGTGGAGTTGGTCTCCTACTTAGCGTCCAGGCAAGTGCTGCGCTTATCAAGTGGGAGCCTGTTAATGAGAGGATAATCGTTGCCAGATTTTGAACACGGGTTCGTAACCTTACCATAATCCAATGTTATGCGCCAACCGATGCTGCCGAGCTACAGAACAAGGAGAATTTTTACAGTCAACTGAATGCCGTCGTGGATAAGGTTCCAAAGGGTGACATCAAGATCTACACTGGCGACTTCAATGCGAAGATCGGCTCCGACAACACGGATCATGAGCATATCATGGGACGCCATGGTCTCGGCGAAATGAGCGAGAACGGTGAGCTGTTTGCAGAATTTTGTGGCAATATCGACATGGTGATCGGGGGCTCCCCCATCGGCCAGTGCACAAAGTCGCGTGGTTTTCCCGTGATGGACATACCGAGAATCAGATCGACCACATCTGCATCAGCCGAAAATGGAGACGGAGCCTTCTTGATGTCCGGAATAAACGCAGCGCCGACATCGCGTCTGACCATCACCTTCTAATCGGTGAAATCCGCCTACGCATGGCGCGGATCCAGCGACGGGAGGAGAGACTCGGGCGGCGGTTCAACACACGCCGACTTGAAGATCCAGCGGTAAAAAGGTCTTTTGTTGAAGAGCTTGAGACTCGAGCTGCGGACGTTCCAGAAGGTGGCAGCGTAGAAGAACAATGGACGGCCATCAAGAATGCCTTTATAGAAGCAAGCGAGCACAACTTGGGTGAGCTGCGCACTCAGAGGAAAGAGTGGATCACAGATGAAACCTGGCGGAAGATTGAGGAGCGTAGAGAAGCAAAAGCCGCGATAGAGCGGGCGAGAACCAGAGGAGCCAAGAACGAAGCCCGTCAACGGTACTCGGCTCTAGAGAAGGAAGTCAAGCGCTCCTGCAGACGGGACAAGCGAGCGTGGGTGAACTCCCTGGCCGACGAAGGGGAGAAAGCCGCAAACACTGGCGATATACGCCTCCTCTACGATATCTCACGACGCCTGAGTGGAGCAAGGATGAACCCGAGGATGCCAGTGAAGGACACGACTGGACAATTGCTTACCGACCCCACTGACCAGCTGAAACGCTGGTTTGAGCACTTCGAACAACTTCTTCAAGTTTCGACGGCCAACCAGCCATCAACATCTCGGCATGATCCGCCTAGGGTGCGGCGTATCACTCGCGTCAATTCCGAGGCCCCATCACTGCAGGAGATTGAAGCACCTATCCGAAGCATGAAATCATACAAGGCTCCAGGGGTCGATCGCATATCAGCAGAGATGCTCAAATCTGACCCCATGCTATCTGCACAAATGTTGCATCAACTATTCTGTAATATCTGGGACACCGCTACCTTTCCGGCCGACTGGATGCAGGGCATCTTAGTGAAGGTACCAAAGAAGGGGAATCTGACTGTGTGCGACAATTGACGAGGCATCATGTTACTGTGTATTGTTCTCAAAGTTCTGTGCAAAGTTATCTTGAATCGGATACAGGAGAAGATCGACGCGACCCTCCGATGGCAGCAGGCAGGATTCCGTGCCGGAAGATCTTGTGTGGACCATATTGTCACGCTCCGCATCATTCTGGAGCAGGTCAATGAATTCCAAGAGTCCCTTTATTTGGTATTCATTGACTACGAAAAAGCTTTCGACCGTCTCAATCACGAGAATCTGTGGGGCGCCCTGAGACGCAAGGGAGTCCCGGATAAAATCGTCAACCTCATCGAAGCGCAGTATGAGGCTTTCACGTGCAGAGTTCTGCATAACGGAGCCTTGTCCGACCCTATCCGGGTAGTCGCTGGTGTGAGACAAGGATGTATACCATCACCGCTACTGTTTCTCATCGTAATCGACGAGATCATGGTAGGTGCAATTGACCGTGTACCGGACCGTGGGCTGCTTTGGCAGCCTATCACCATGGAGCATCTCAACGACTTCGATTTGGCTGATGATGTTGCTCTACTAGCACAACGGCGCTCTGATATGCAGATTAAGCTCAATGACCTAGCCGAACGCTCCTCTGCAGCGGGTCTTACCATCAACGTCAACAAGACCAAATCGTTGGATATCAACACGGGCAACCCTTCCAACTTTACGGTAGCGGGGCAAGCAGTGGAGAAGGTCGAAAGTTTCCAATATCTTGGCAGCCAAATAGCGTCGGACGGCGGGACCAAGAGCGACATAGGTGCACGAATCAAGAAGGCTAGGGCTGACTTTGCGAGTCTACGAAACGTATGGAGATCCAACCAGATAAGTCAACGCACCAAAATCCGAATTTTCAACTCGAACGTGAAATCTGTGTTGTTATACGCCAGCGAGACGTGGTGTATATCAGCAGAGAACACTCAAAAGCTGCAGGTCTTCATCAACCGATGCCTGCGGTATATAATTCGTGCCTGGTGGCCTCACAACTGGATCTCGAATGCCGAGCTCCATCGTCGATGTCATCAGAAGCCGATAGCAACAGAAATTCGAGAGCGAAAGTGGAGGTGAGTCGGCCACACACTTCGACGGGGCGGTAACGAAATCTGCAAGCAAGCGCTGGATTGGAATCCGGCAGGACATCGCAGCAGAGGCAGACCCAGGGGCTCATGGCGGCGGAGCCTCAATAAGGAAATTAAGCAAGTCGATAGGAATCTGACCTGGGCCCAGGTCAAGGCAAAAGCGAGCAGCCGCCCAGGATGGAAATCTTTCACGTTGGCCCTTTGCACCGCTGGTGGTGCACAGGACCCTTAAGTAAGTTGATGTTGCCAAAATCGAGACCAAAGTGGTATTCGATTTTTGCAAAATGATTTTTTTTTGTTCATGAATATCAATTGTTTTCACAAGTTTTTTCAACACTCCACTTAGGATCGACTTAGGAAGCATTGATTCTTATTGTTAAGCCATTTTAGCACACAATTCTGGCGGGTCAAAAAAGTTTCGATTTTAGCGTGCCTCGATTTTGGCAACAGAGATGAAGCTGCCAAAATCGAGATCCATCTGTCTGTTTTAGTTAAAGTTCATTACTATTCATTCATTGGTGTTCATTAGACTGATGCAAAATTTGAAATTTTCGCTCCACAGTGCTCAAACGGTTCCAAATTGGGCCCTGATTAGCCTCCCGAAATTTGAACTCATTTAGTGAGAAACTGACTTGGCACAAACCATTTGAAGTTTATATGGGAATTACTATGGAGAAACCATAATTTCGGTGCATATCTATCTCAAAATTCACCAGTTCACTCTACTTTAAAAAATGATAGCTGAACTTGTTGAAAATTTTCTCAGCTGCAACTTTGTTAGAGACTACTTATAAGGAACAAAAGTTATTAATGATTCAAGTCACTGATGTCTTATGATTATGCTCAATCAACTGTTCAGCAGGCAACATTGGTGTTTATGGTGCGTAGAATAGAGGACAAAAATCATGGCTACTATGTCACACTGCAGAATACAGTGTTGCCTAAAATACAATTGCTTAATCTTGCCATAAGATTATCAATCTCTTAAACAATTAATAACTATTTAATTTGACGTTTGGCTGAAAAACGATTTTCTGCAAAGTTGTAGCTGATAAAAATTCCCATAAGAATAGCAATAGAATTTGTTAAAAGTACAATATGTAAAAAGGCTAGAAGACAATGAACAAAAAGTTTTGTTTTCCCATAGTAATTTCCATATAAACTTCAAATGGTTTGTGCCAAGTCAGTTTCTCACTAAATGAGTTCAAGTTTTGGGAGGCTAATCAGGGCCCAATTTGGAACCGTATGAGCACTGTGTAGTGAAAATTTCAAATTTTGCATCAACCTAGTGTTCATGGGCATAAATGATCGAGGTAAAGTTAGTAAAACAACATCATGCAATAATATAATCTACTGATTTGGGTTTGGATTCTTTATAATTATAATTGATTTGTTAAAATTGATCATTGATATTCAGCTGTGCTTTGCCTCACAAGATTCGATTCGATAATTCAGCCAGATGTTCACGTAAATAAATTCAATTTTAATTGAAAAATGTTTGCTTTAATCCCCTTAATTTATAAATATATCCACAGGAAATTTTCTTCCTAAAAAAACAACTTTCATCAATATTGATACTACCATTCCAGTTTAATCAAAAAAATTTCCCAACCTTGACCACCCTATCACAACTCGTCCTTCCTTAAGCCCTCCGAAGGATGATGTGCTCGTAGTTCCCTCCAGAAGGTGGACCGTTCCTCGAACAGTCCATTCTCCACGGCAAACAGAGGTTCACCATCCGAACCTGAACTTCCAATCCGGAGATACGTAAGTGGAAATCTGTTTGTCGGTGGCCACTCGGGGAAGGAGTCATCCTGTTCTGGCGTCGGAGTTCCAAATTTGGCAAAATTGACCCACAGCTTGATGATGACTTTCCGGACCTGCAGCTCCTCCGGCGTCGGAATCGACGTCACGAACAGATCCTTACCAATCGGGAACAGATATTGTAGCTCTTCGGCGTGACTGACACCTGTTTGGGAGGTAGAAAATTAATAACGAGGTCAAAGGCAGCCCCCCAGTAGTGGTTAGTCCCTAACTGACCGTAGTAATTTTCTTTGCCACCTTCGAAAATTTCCGTAAAGCTGGCGGCCGATCGCTGGGCAAAGAGGTACACGTACGTCGGTCCAACGGTGCCAGTGGGTCGCTTTTGGCCGTTGCTCCTTCCCAGTCGGATGTGCAAATACTCGTCCATACCGGCCAAGAACCATCCGTCGGAGTAAAGCTGGAAAAAAATAATAATTAAACCAACACTGGGAGAACCGTACCGTAAAAATCAACCGGCGTCGAAATTGGTTGGTCAAATGTTTAATTAAATCGTTCGGTGGCTTGGTTGGGGGGCTGGAATGTTGTTTGCATATTTTCAGTTGGCTAATTTCAGGTGAAATGAAGATTGCATTGTGGCTTGATTGCGTTGGGATTGGAACTTTTGTGGCGTTGAGGATAATAAAGACAGTGTTTGATGAGATATGAACTTTGCGGGAGGTACAGTCAAGTTGAACACTTTTGCAATGTTCCAATCAGAAGCAAACAGAAGGATTAAATTTGCTCAAGATAAATAGAACACAAAAAACAAAAATTGCCAAGGAATCGGAAAAAAATTAATCTTATATCCGGAAAATGAACAAATGAAAGGTACCAACGCTACCGACGCCAGGAAGGTAAGCTCCCACACCTGAACCCTACATATCGAGCCATCAAACTCATGAACCGGGGACCAACGACTTTACTTCCTTTCCTAAAAGAAGGGGTGATCAGAGACTTTATGCCTCAGAAAATCCTGGCGGCACCGCTTGAACCACCCTATGATTGATTTCAATTGGATTATTCACAAAGGATAAGATATGGTAGAAGGAAATAAATAATGAAATTAACCACCGTTTGCTCGCAACCTACATTGGTGAGATTCTGCTCCGTCTCCTTAATCAGCTTCCGGTCGTTGAAGTAAAATCGGTTAATTGCCTTGGTAATGTCCTGTTGCCTGCCGGAATCCTCGTGGTGATCATAGTACAGCGAAACAGGCAACGCCCTGTCCCAGTGTTCGTTCAAGCTGGCCCGCAATTCCGGTAAGTTGATGAGAGCTGAAAGAACACGACAGTTGGAAAGTCAGTTCAATAGAGTCAAAATCAACACCTAACACCTAATCCAACAGTTGTTATCGATAATTCGTTTTACCGAACCTGCGTCAAATTGTATCGGATTCGCTGATAAATGTAATTTCAATCGATAAAATCGTAAAATCCACCACATGTGCTCGCTCAATTCGAATCTCAGTCCAATTGCACTTCAACCATCAACTCGCTATGTCTCTAACGCTTTTGCTTGTGATAACCACCGTGGCCTTTGCTCAATCAGGTATATTCAACTCGATTCCCAATCCAACTCGATCCAAACTAATGCCTTTTGCAGCTCTAGAGTGTAGCCGCTGCGTCTCAACCGTCGATTGGGACGATTGTTTCAAGAATTCCACCAAGGAAAACTGCACCCATTACTGCTTCCTCCTGGAAGAAATGGACCCCTCGTCACAAACCATTCACTTCAAGCAGGGTTGCACGGATGACAGGAACTTCTGCGCCGGACATAGTCCCGAACCGAATACCTATTGCTCGCTCTGCTCGGAAGACAAAATCTTGTGCACCTCGATGAGCCATCGAATAACGAAAACCGTGGACCGGGAAATGAATGATACTTCAAGCAAACCATCCCAAACGAACGCTTCGACCGTTGTGACTATGTCCGCCAACAAGAACGGACCCCATTTGGCAACTTCCTTCACGGCTACGATTCAGAAGCAAAACTCCCAAGACAAGCAAGAGTCGCAGATTTGGCTACACGATTTGGTTGAGCATGTTCTCGGTAACGCACACACAAATGACAAAATGCAAGCAAATCCAGAAAACGAGGAAAATGTAACTACAGACACTAGTCCGGTGACAGAGGAGACGTCTACTAATCCTGCTGCAGCTGAGACTACTACTGATACTACAATCACAGCTTCAACTGAGAATCATGGTACAACAGTCACGACAGGTCCACCAGAGCCGATTAAGCCAGATGCAGTTTCCGGATCAAATACTCTAGCTAATGCTTGGATTTTGGGACTGATCATTGCGATAAATTTTGTCATTCATAGAATATAAAGATTATAAGTTATAAAAATCATTACTTAGCAATGTATTGATCGACCTAAAATCTATTGATGCCGAATGAATCTATAAAGTATTCAGTGGAAAATGGCACCAATAGATTTGCTATAATTTTTCAAACATTGCAAGTTTTCCGTTACACATTTTACAGGAGGCATCATGTTTGGAATGTTGATCAATAGAAAGCGTATCTACAAGAATGAAATAGGGTTTTTGGTCTAATTTCCGTCCTACTAAGCACAACTCACGCTTTACCTCTCTTTCTTGAATATGTTTTAACAAAAAATTAAATGTTTCTATCCAAGATGACTTTAAAACTTATTTCCCTTTCCAAAAGTACCGTTGAATTTGATAAGGAGCCACACTTTGTTGAGATATTGTTAAAAATCTAACACTGCTTGATTGCAAATTCGTCCTACGAATTTCAATTCCGTCAAAATGCATCGAAACGCCATTGGATTTTCTTCGTCTTACGGTTGAAGGTAGAAAAAGCGAGATCGCTAGGAGCACTTTCTTTGCTTTGAGAACAATGAGTGCAAATATGCACCCAATACGCTCTAATAGGCTTCGTGTTGTAGCTTGTGAACTAACGCATCGGTACAAACGTATTACTGGTTTGTGCTCGGTGAAGTCATGTTCTCTGCTCGATAGAACGGAAGTGGACGATTACGCCGAAGTAGTGCTCTACCCTATGGACATCTCTTTAAAACAAAGCATTCGGACTTAAATAGAAAATAACTAAATTCACTCCAAGAGTCCTCCGGTTCGAATTAAGTCATATCCATAAAAAATCCTTTATTTGTCAGCCGGTGGACTTCCCAAACCTTTAAATCGATTCATCTCCTTAATTAAGGCTCTAATCGCGATTTGGGGGGTGTTCAGATGCTCGAAATTTTCATACCAAAATTTCCCAGTATAAAATATTCCAAAATCCTTTATTTGTCGGCCGGTGGGCTTCCCAAACCTTTAAATCGATTTATCTCCTTAATTAAGGCTCTAATCGCGATTTGGGGGGTGTTCAGATGCTCGAAATTTTCATACCAATACTTCCTAGTATAAAATAGTCCAAAATCCTTTATTTGTCGGCCGGTGGGCTTCGCAAACCTTTAAATCGATTTATCTCCTTAATTAAGGCTCTAATCGCGATTTGGGGGGTGTTCAGATGCTCGAAATTTTCATACCAATACTTCTTAGTATAAAATAGTCCAAAATCCTTTATTTGTCGGCCGGTGGGCTTCCCAAACCTTTAAATCGATTTATCTCCTTAATTAAGGCTCTAATGGCGATTTGGGGGGTGTTCAGATGCTCGAAATTTTCATACCAATACTTCCAAGTATAAAATATTCCAAAAACCTTTATTTGTCGGCCGGTGGGCTTCCCAAACCTTTAAATCGATTTATCTCCTTAATTAAGGCTCTAATCGCGATTTGGGGGGTGTTCAGATGCTCGAAATTTTAATACCAAAATTTCCCAGTATAAAATATACCAAAATCCTTTATTTGTCGGCCGATGGACTTCCCAAACCTTTAAATCGATTTATCTCCTTAATTAAGGCTCTAATCGCGATTTGGGGGGTGTTCAGATGCTCGAAATTTTAATACCAAAATTTCCCAGTATAAAATATACCAAAATCCTTTATTTGTCGGCCGATGGACTTCCCAAACCTTTAAATCGATTTATCTCCTTAATTAAGGCTCTAATCGCGATTTGGGGGGTGTTCAGATGCTCGAAATTTTCATACCCAAATTTCCCAGTGTAAAATATACCAAAATCTTTTATTTGTCGGCCGGTGGGCTTCCCAAACCTTTAAATCGATTTATCTCCTTAATTAAGGCTCTAATCGCGATTTGAGGGGTGTTCAGATGCTCGAAATTTTCATACCAAAATTTCCCAGTATAAAATATTCCAAAATCCTTTATTTGTCGGCCGGTGGGCTTCCCAAACCTTTAAATCGATTTATCTCCTTAATTAAGGCTCTAATCGCGATTTGGGGGGTGTTCAGATGCTCGAAATTTTCATACCAATACTTCCTAGTATAAAATAGTCCAAAATCCTTTATTTGTCGGCCGGTGGGCTTCCCAAACCTTTAAATCGATTTATCTCCTTAATTAAGGCTCTAATCGCGATTTGGGGGGTGTTCAGATGCTCGAAATTTTCATACCAATACTTCTTAGTATAAAATAGTCCAAAATCCTTTATTTGTCGGCCGGTGGGCTTCCCAAACCTTTAAATCGATTTATCTCCTTAATTAAGGCTCTAATGGCGATTTGGGGGGTGTTCAGATGCTCGAAATTTTCATACCAATACTTCCAAGTATAAAATATTCCAAAAACCTTTATTTGTCGGCCGGTGGGCTTCCCAAACCTTTAAATCGATTTATCTCCTTAATTAAGGCTCTAATCGCGATTTGGGGGTGTTCAGATGCTCAAAATTTTCATACCAAAATTTCCCAGTATAAAATATACCAAAATCTTTTATTTGTCGGCCGGTGGGCTTCCCAAACCTTTAAATCGATTTATCTCCTTAATTAAGGCTCTAATCGCGATTTGAGGGGTGTTCAGATGCTCGAAATTTTCATACCAAAATTTCCCAGTATAATAAATTGCAATATTCTTTATTTGTTGGCCGGTGGGCTTCCCAAACCTTTAAATCGATTTATCTCCTTAATTAAGGCTCTAATCGCGATTTGGGGGGTGTTCAGATGCTCGAAATTTTAATACCAAAATTTCCCAGTATAAAATATACCAAAATCCTTTATTTGTCGGCCGATGGACTTCCCAAACCTTTAAATCGATTTATCTCCTTAATTAAGGCTCTAATCGCGATTTGGGGGGTGTTCAGATGCTCGAAATTTTCATACCAAAATTTCCCAGTATAAAATATACCAAAATCCTTTATTTGTCGGCCGGTGGGCTTCCCAAACCTTTAAATCGATTTATCTCCTTAATTAAGGCTCTAATCGCGATTTGGGGGGTGTTCAGATGCTCGAAATTTTCATACCCAAATTTCCCAGTATAAAATATACCAAAATCCTTTATTTGTCGGCCGGTGGGCTTCCCAAACCTTTAAATCGATTTATCTCCTTAATTAAGGCTCTAATCGCGATTTGGGGGGTGTTCAGATGCTCGAAATTTTCATACCAAAATTTCCCAGTATAAAATATACCAAAATCCTTTATTTGTCGGCCGGTGGACTTCCCAAACCTTTAAATCGATTTATCTCCTTAATTAAGGCTCTAATCGCGATTTGGGGGGTGTTCAGATGCTCGAAATTTTCATACCAAAATTTCCCAGTATAAAATATACCAAAATCCTTTATTTGTCGGCCGGTGGACTTCCCAAACCTTTAAATCGATTTATCTCCTTAATTAAGGCTCTAATCGCGATTTGGGGGGTGTTCAGATGCTCGAAATTTTCATACCAAAATTTCCCAGTATAAAATATACCAAAATCCTTTATTTGTCGGCCGGTGGGCTTCCCAAACCTTTAAATCGATTTATCTCCTTAATTAAGGCTCTAATCGCGATTTGGGGGGTGTTCAGATGCTCGAAATTTTCATACCAAAATTTCCCAGTATAAAATATACCAAAATCCTTTATTTGTCGGCCGGTGGACTTCCCAAACCTTTAAATCGATTTATCTCCTTAATTAAGGCTCTAATCGCGATTTGAGGGGTGTTTAGATGCTCGAAATTTTCATACCAAAATTTCCCAGCATAAAATATACCAAAATCCTTTATTTGTCGGCCGGTGGACTTCCCAAACCTTTAAATCGATTTATCTCCTTAATTAAGGCTCTAATCGCGATTTGGGGGGTGTTCAGATGCTCGAAATTTTCATACCAAAATTTCTCATTATAAAATATTCCAAAAACCTTTATTTGTCGGCCGGTGGACTTCCCAAACCTTTAAATCGATTTATCTCCTTAATTAAGGCT